ATTTCCCGCGACATCTTTGCTACATTTCTCTTTAAAAGTAATGTAAGAAACAGTCTGAGAACTTTCCTATTTTCAGATTACAATGTTTTTTTTTTCAAATTCACGCAAAATTATTCTTTGCCTTTTTTGAAATGACAAAGTCTAACAACACGCAATCTTGTATACAAATATTTCACGCATTAAAAATGAATCTTTGTGTAGCAAGAGGTAAAAGCGCTTCAAATGCTACACATAAATAACAATGATTAAATTTAGACCAAATACCTCTTCATATTTTCTTCTTCCCAATCATCATTTCTTTAATGACCACTCAATAAGACAAGTCTCACTCCATTATTTCTTATCGATGACCTGTCTTTTTGTTCCAGGAATGTTATTTTTAATCAAAATATTTTATTGAGAAGATAAAAATGAAGATAGAGCTTGTGGCTTTCCACGAATTCAATAGTGGTAAAATTACTCATTATATATTGGTCAACTTGCGAAATAGTTTTATAAAAGCCGCTTTTGCTGACCAGCTTCATCTCCTTTCAATTTTAAGGGTAACCATGCCAAATTCATAGCACAATTGTATTTAAATAATCTAATCTTTTAACTCCCCCTTCAATCCTAACATCTTAATTGGTTTTAAACAATATATTAACCAAAATTTTTCATCGTCTAGCTGTTGCCCGAAAGTAAGTACTTTAATTTGAATTTTAACTATTTTCAAGAGGTGTCCGTAATATTATTCTTGATGTGCTGGATTTTATTGATAGTAATAAATTTATCAAGCAGCTATTAAATCACACAAACCAGTATAAATATGAGATCGGGAAATTTCAGCATAATAGGCAGTTGAAGTATTTCAATTATTTCCATCTCTGTAGGGAGAGAAGACAGTAAACTCATCCCAATGTTGCACTACTTTTTCACGCACCTTAAGAATTATAATTTGAGTTTGGTATAATAAAAATAGACCTAATTAATTACTTAGTATCTAAGATTTTATTGCTATTAAATTGAAAAGTATTCTAAGTAAATACTTGCTGTATTACAAACTATTTAATATTAAGTACGAGTAAAAATTTGAGTATAGTTCGTTCACCAGGAGTTGGCACATGGCTCCGCCTTCATCACGTGGTATCCGACTATACTATGCCACTATTTTTGGGAGAAAGATATGGACAATCCTGAACAAGGTTGCTATTTGGCGATCGTATGGCAAAAATTATTATTTCACAATGTTTATGTGCATTTTTTTAACATTAAATATGTCATAAATTTGATATTTCTCTCTTTTGAGTGAATAGTTTGCCATCTTTGAGACATTTTGCTGGGAAAACAGCAGTTTTTAAATTTAAAATATATTAAATTAGCTAGAGTAACGAAAGGTATAATGGCAGATGACAAAGCGTACTAAGTGACTGAAATAGAATTTCCTGTTTGCGTTTGGAGACCATTAAGGGTTGTCTTAATTTCAAGCACGGGGACGTTTCTCCTCTTACTCCCGCGCTGCAATGAACTCTTCATCCGAGGAGGTGGAACCAAGCGCTAACTCCTGGTGAACGAACTATAACAGTTATTGGTTCGTTTCAAGTCGTTTATTTATTTTTTAAATGAACTGCATTTTTGATAAACTGCATTAAGGTGTGAATAGCCATTTCGAAATTTTTAGTCTGTTTTTTACAATTTCTTATTCTCCACATACATTTAAATATTTGAAGTGCTTTGGTAGTCATACATTAGTCACATAGGAAAGTTAAAAATATATTAAGAAAATATTAATTTAGTTGGTACCTGAGGCTGCTATTGCTGCCGACAAGATTATCGTTATAAACAGGTTTTATACAATCTAATAAGCACTTTTAAACGTCGCTAACTGCATCATTTCCATACTTTCAGTTTTCTTGAAAACTTAGTCTCAAAATGTTTAAAACAATTTAAAAATATGTAATTCATTATCCATAAATAGTTTTATTTAATATAATGCGATATTTGTGATGGTTATATCGACTGAAATAATTAAAATATAAATACTTTGACCATGAACTGTTAGAAAAGTTTTTCTTTCAAATTTAAAAAATGATAGAGATTTTTTCGAAAACTTGGGAGCAAAATTTCTATGAATAAAAACTTAACATAGAAATGATGTCTATAAACACATTAACAACAGCTTTATTAGTCTGGAAAAAAGAGAAAAAACAAAGACAATTTTGCTAATGTTTTTGAATTAAAAAAAAATCGTACATTTGAACAAATGTGTTCAAACGACGATTCTTAAATATTTAATTTTCATGATGCTAAGTCATAGCGGAGCATTTTAAATTGTGGTATTTTTTGCTGTTTTAGTCAAGAATGGCTATAACATATCATGGAATGATATCTGTAGACTACTATTTGAAATAACTTCAGACATTTTACGTTTGAATTGTGCGGGCGCAATCATGGAATTATATTTTTGCAAATCGTAGGGTGAGTGAGCGAGTAATGTAAATTTTGGAGCAAGAGTTATGTCTTGGCTATAACATACCTAAAACTTGGTGCAAATCATGAGGAATCGTGAACAATAAATTACTTAATAAATCTAAAGTAAGTTACTTAAATCTAAAATAAAACAATAAGCAAGGGTACATCGCGTACATAAGTAATTCAGCAACTTTAAACGTTGCTAGTTCAGGAGCAAAGAAAAGATAGTTGGGCAATGGAAAAGTGCTAGATAATCTATAAAGAGTGCCCAACTTTTGTGATCGATGCTGCTTAATTAGTAAAACTAATTTTCTAAGCTACTATAAGTTGTTCAAGTTCCTCAGGTGCTTGAAACGTCTTACGAAACTCGGAAAGTAGAATAGGATGATCTGAGGCAATCTGCACTTGAAGCAACTATTGCGTAAATGCATTTAGGGTGGCTGCTGGAATCTAATCTGTATGTGGGTTCGAACAACAGCCTTACACATACTAAACTGAGGAATGGAATCCAAAGTTTCTGAGGTAAAGGAAAAAAAATCTTGCTGCGTATATCGAATTAGCGTGTGTAAGAATAACGATGATATTAATCCGAATACAAAATACTAAAAAGGGGAAGTATTTGCAAAAGAAAAATTTGAGACCAGTATTCTAAACGAACTTTTGAAAGAGAATTCTCGTGAAACTGTAAGAATGAAGGATATTTTATAGCAGTTATTTATTTTAGAGTATAAGCTTTTATGTGAAAGAAATATAACACTAAAACAAACAAGCCCTTTTTACAACGATGCAGCACCAAATTTACTTAGACTATAATGCACTAGAGGACAAATTCATGAAGCTATTTGTGATTTAAAGTGTAAATAAAATGATCAGGAAACAAAATCTTAATAATATAGGTAAAAAAATATGTGAGAAAATATGGCTAAACAATTTGACGCAACTCTGAAACTCAGATCACTTTCTCCCTTTTTAATAAATTAGGTAAAAGTAAGTAAAATAAAAGACATATTTTTCATAGTTTTACGTCAAAGAATTCTGGTTATTCAGCAAGGGGTTAAGAGAGAGCGTTCTATAAAACTGTTTTACCTCTAAAATTTTTTTTATGCTTATAAGACTTATGTCTGAATGCCAATTTTGATCATAAAGCTCTTACATACTAGGTTGGGTTATACGGTCAATGCTTTTTTTTCTTCATATAAGCAGTAAATTCCTGCGTGCGAAGTTACAGAGTAAAATGATGTGGGTAAATTAACAAAACAATTAATAATTTCACCTTTGCTTAGGAGAAAAACTCATTTCATTTGATTAATGATTTAGAGCAATTAAAAAAATATATCACTTTAAGAAAAAAATAAATTTCAATATTGAAATTTCGCAACTTTTTTTAAAAATTAGAGATGAAAAATCTTGTATGTATTTGATAATATAATATTCCCAAGAAAATAAGCTCAAAATCTGCAGGGTAATGTTTTTCTTACTTTTTTTTTAAATATCTTCAATATAAACTATGCTTTTGATAATGCTTTCTAGCAGAAAATGTCGACACGTTTAAGTTATCGACAATATGTGAAATGCCGATACGTTAAAATGTAAAGTGTCGACAGGTTAACATCAATATGTTGCTTATTAAAAAGTAAAGCAATAGCACTACAGCCAGTTGCCACCTAAAAGGGGTCTTAGAAGTCAAGCCTCCACAATGTTCACATTAACGACATAAAGGTGACAATATGGTTGGTATTGTGCACTAGTCATTTACTTCACAAACAATCTGGTATGTGTTGATCCCCATATACTACAAATATCAGATGATACATGAAGCTATAAGAGGATACATAACATCGATCTTTTTCAATGAAGATTCACTGCCTGAACCACTTCACCATTACGGCTCATAATTGTATATAATTTCATAAAAATCTTTTTTAAATGAATTGATTTTCTGCAGCTTCAATATTTGATGACAATTAGGAAAGAATGCAGAGATTATCAGCACAAAAATATTAGAAAACTCTGCAGTGTTCAGTTAAAGTCAGAGATTTTACTATAGAAACAATACTAAAAAGTATGTCAGACACTAGAGTATATAGGTTAACTACGTAGGCAATATTGACTCACTCTGGAATTTATGACTACATAAATTACTAATACTTCTCTAACTTCTAATTCTTCTTTATATGAGTTTTTACGCATTCTTCAAGAGAATATGTAAAAATTCATTTGAAGAAGAATTTTTTTTAAATAGAGTACACTTCAAAATAATTATTTTATATTCCTTCAAGAGCCAATACAAAGCAGTTATTAAGTCTGCTATTTTTTGAGGAAACAAATTACCAACCAATTTTATGGTGAGAATACTGTAAAATAGCTTCACTTTGGTTGCTTCTCTGCAATTTTTTTTTTTCATTTGGAAATTTGAATAGACATTTTTTTATTCATAATTCAAACTTCACTTAAAAAAATTCGGTAATTTTTTTACTTATTAATGTAATTCAACATTAATTTGGTATTTTTTTAAAATAATTTCACTGAGAAAAAAGTATGGTCAAATATACTAGAATTTGCTAAAATTTACCGTGTTTCTGGCTCTATGGGAGCATAAAAAAGTGTGGTAATTTTTACAGAAACGCTTTAGTAGTAATTTTTGGTATAATTGTGAATAAAATGTGGTTCTGTCTCAACAACCTAAAAATATTGTGAGGAAGTAACGAGTTCGAATCCCGTCGCAACCCTGGAAGTATCTATTGATATTTATTTATTCATTGCTACACCTGCATTTTCATACTTATGTGCTCATCACAAAGTTCATTTTGTAAGTCCTCGCCAAGTCATAGTACAGATAGCACAATAGTACGATACAGACGTATATCACAAACATATACTGTATCCTCGGATACGGTTGGTTTTGAACTCCTTACCTCCATACTACAATCGATGCATAATTGAAATGAATTTTCCTAATTTGAAAGATCTTTCTTCTTCCACTTGGCAAGTTTTTATAATAAGCCATACTTTGTAATGCGCACTCAAGTTTTCATATGAAAATATAACTACAAGTAAATACTTAGAGTAGTATTGTTCTTAAACCATTCGTTTTTCAGGAGTCTAGCAGTTCATATTTTTTAAATTCAGGTAGCTGGTACGAATTCTACAGTAATTCTGGATGTGTAATAATAAATACATTTGATTTGTATGCATATACAGGTTCATGTGCTTAATACAAAGAATAGATTGTCTCTTATCAATTGAAGAGCAGATGAAAAAGATGAAAAAGTGAAAGACAAAAATGAAAAAGATGGTACGACTCGCTATCCCTTTACTTCAGAATTGCTGTTGTTGCCGTCGGCCATTAAGGCACTGATTGTAGGATTTTCTTTTTTCCCTGTTACTTTCTATGCTACAGAAATGTTCTCAGCTAAACAGAAGAAAAGGTCAAATATAAGACAATAAGAATTGGTCAATAAGAATTTTCAATAAATAGGTATTAGTAAAAGTGCACCATATTGAAAACAACGAAAGTAAAAGTCTCTGTTTTTTAATCGTCTAAATAAAAAATAATTTTGTTTAATTTTTTAACAAAAATTTTAAGGAATCGTTGAAAAAAATTTCTTATGCAAAGAGGGCGGAGAGTTAAGAAATAGGGTGAATCTGTATACTAGAGAAATAAAGAAAATTGGGAGAGGGTTTAAATAACACTAGTCCATTTCAGTTTTCGGGGAACTGTTATATATCTTACAAAAAATAAAAAAAAGATAAGCTCTCTGGAGACAATATTCGATGACATCAGACATGACTGGCACTGGCAAAATTTACTATATATANATATATATATATAGTTAAGATCAGCTTAAATTAGTGTCTTATTATAATTTCCCAAAAAATCTTGTTAGGCTTTACTTCATTCAACAACGTTATAAAAAATATGTAGAAAAGTAATTTGAACTATAGTAATTTAAAACAACAATTTAGAGAGCCTAGTATAGTGGAAGTAATTAAAACACCACGAGTCTCATAAACATACTTGGAGATAAGACCCGGGTGAAAATAATAACATTTAAAAAGCCAGAAGGAAAGGGAAGTAGAAGTAGGCAGCACAAGACTACGCAGAACAGTTTCATCGAATTGGTCTAACTAGTGGAAACTGACTAAGACTACCTTGGACGGTAATGCTTAGAGAGATGATATGAAAATTATCTATTATAAAACCATTTCTGCAACAATTAGTTTATTATTTTTATTTTTAATGTATTTTTTTGGAATTGACGTAAAAACATAATGTTTAGAGTAATAGTTTGAAAGTGGCTCCGAAGTAAAAATGTTATTAAAGATGATGCAACAAAGTTCCATAGCAATTTTCTTTTAACTTTACTTATTTCGTAAGAAAAAAAATATTTAATGCATTGTTTGAGAAAAAGCGGAATTAATGAAGTTTCATGTTAAATAAAGATCAGTTTCATGCTATAAACCTCATTTATTGTGTTAACTGTTAATATAGCGTAAAGATTTGTAATGAAGTGGAATGCATATTTCCAAGCTTCTTAAAAAAGTTTTACACAAGTATTTGTTCATGTAGATAATAATTAAAATACTTTCGCAGATAAATATGTGTTTTGCAAGCTAGTTTAATCAGGATATCCCGATAATTATCTAATAGTAATTAAAAAATGATACTTGACTCAACAGTTTTAATATTTCGCTCATAGGCTGCAATAGCGGCACAGCTCAAAAAATGATGTTTTGAGATAAGTGCGTTTAAAATTTTCATTGATAAGGAAAATCCATAAAAAATGCTTTCTTTTGCTTAAATGAATATTACCTTCAAGTTGAATTATGAGTTGTACAATCATGCTGCTGAAAAGAATTTGTATTTTCATATTTACGCCTGTTCTTAGTCCAAAACTCGTGTTTTTTGAGTTGTGCCACTATTACAGTTCATGAGCGATTTGTCCATATACTAATATAGGATCTAGAATTAATATTGCATAAAAAGATTTTACGAATTAAGGTATAAATTGCAATTTAATGCGAAATTCTTTTATAAAAATGTTTGAAAAAAACATGTTTTAACAAAAAAAGCGACAAAAAAATTAAAAAGAAAGAATCATGATGCGTTTTTTCTTAGCCATGTTTGCAATATACTAATTATAAATTAGAAACTTGAATATAATGTGGCAAAAAGTATTTTAACTATGAATATCTAACACAAAAATATTTGGGTTTTACATAAAGAAAAAACCCACTGACTATTGAATATCCATAAATTCCCATTAAATAAGACTGAAGAAACACTGAATTTCAAACTGTAATAAAAAGATGCTTACATCTTTTTACCTATTATTTGAAGTATTCAATGCATTTTATATATAAAATAAACTCAAAGTTAAAAAAAATCCTTGTAAAATTTTAAAAGTTTTTAACAACAAATTATTTTTTTTCTAACTTTCAGAGGAGATCCAAAGAAAATTATGTTGTGTAAAAAATGTGCCAGTGATTATTCAATTTGCAACGATTATTCTAACATAATCTTTTCTAGAGCGCATGATATTACAATTAAAAACAAGGAGAGAAATTGATGTGCAAAACGAGATTGTTTATCAAACGGAAAAGAACACTTAAAAAAAAATATTTGATTCAATGAATTATAATTAGTGCATGCATGTTTTTTTTTATCTCCCTCAGTTTATTTTTTGTAAAATATTTATTTCACTTGAAAAACAAATAACAATGGGAGTAAATATTGCATGAAAAAATTCTTGAAGAAGAGAGAAAGTGAAAAAGTGCTTAAAAAATCGTACTCATTAAAATGAGAGAATTACGAACAAAGAAATGAAATAGAAATCGAATTGAAGTGAAGAAAAAAGTGAAAAGATGGAAATGAAATGAGTTTCATCATCAAGAAGCTACTTGTCTCGGTCCACTGCGCTATGTATTTTTTCATTCGTTGAAAAATTAAAGATGGCGGAAATATCAAGTCTGAATGTGATGAAAATGACATGAGGTTAAACTCTTTATTTTTTTATTTTAAGTTTCATTTTATTTACTTATTTTCCATTAAAAATAAATATCTTTTAGTATTTTGTGGCTCTGTTTTTTTCTCCATTTCATTATTTTTATCTTGTATCTTTAAAATCTGCTTTATCATTTGACATTATTTTACGATTTCCTTTTTTAAAATATCTGTAGATAGGATTTTTAATAGTTCTAAATTACAAGCCATCTAGTAAGAGATTATATTTTTGTAAATGTAAATTTAAAATGAAATTTTGAATGACGGAGATATTTATTTTAATGATTTTAGAACCTGCAATAACAAGATCACAGAGATTGCTGTCTGTGTGTTTTCAGTCCTTGGGTGTATTTGATTTTCCGTGGACATGGCGCCACCACCAAAACTTGCAATACTGTATGTAACTTGTAAAACTTGTAAAAAGTTTCTGACAACTTCTTTAAAGAATTAATACAATTTGCATTTGAAGTAGGCTAAAAATGCAAAATGTTTTTTTTAGCTATTTACCTTTCTTTCTAAAATTCCTGACGAGATCAAATGATAATTGTCTTTTATTCAACTCAAAAAACAACAACTTGTACTACCCGATTATTCAACTTGTAATACATTCTAACGTTGTCCCCTCGAGAACAGATGATATTACAATTAAAAATGAGAAATTAATGCAGGAAGAAAAATAATTTATCTTCCGAGAATTTAAGCTCACAAAAAAAAACTTTACTTCGAGCATTTTAATTTGAGTGTGAATAGTTTTTCCTTTTAACATTTTTTTTATAAAATATTTCTTATGCTTAGAAACAAATAACAATAGGAGTAAATATTAAAAAAAACTCTTCAAGGAGTGAAAGTGAAAAAGTACTTAAAAAATCGTGCTCATTAAAATGAGAGAATTACGAACAAAGAAATGAAATAGAAATCAGACTTAAAAAAAAGCAAAAGATGGAAATGAAATGAGTTTCATCATTAAGAAGCTACTTGTCTCGGTCCACTGCATTTATATATATATTTTTTATTTCGTTGAAAAATTAAAGATAGTGGTAATACCAATGTTGAATGTGATGAAAATGACATAGGGTTAAAATCTTTATATTTTCCTGTTTCTTTTAGTTTTATATATTTTTTCTTACATTTTTAATTCTTCATGCCTTCTTTCTAAATTCATTTCTTCGTTTAATTTTATTTTATCCTTTATGCAGTGATAGTTTATTTTTAATGCATTCTCTTAAGTCCTCGCAGTCTGGAATTCTAATTGTTACAAAAACTTTTAATCTCGTCACAACGTTTTTATTTTCTCAAAATGAAACACTATTTTTTGTCAAAATATTACTTTTCAGTTGACAGCCATATTTATCTTGATTATTCAGTGATTCTTATAAGCGAAACAAAATAATACTTACAGCTTTGGTTAATTCTTTAAAGTATAAATGCATTTTGCATTCAAAATAGGCTTGAAGTTTTAAAATTTTAACTGTTTTCAAGGTTATTCACCTTTTTTTCTCAATTTCCCGTAAGGTCATTAGAAAATTGTCTTGTTTGCAATGCAAAAAGATTTATAACACATACTACTGATTATACAATTTGTGTTATATTCCATCATTGTTCTCTCAAGAGCAGACGATATTACAATTAAAAATGAGAAATTAAAGCCCGTTAAAAAGTAATTTATCTTCAAAAAACTTACATTCGCAAAAAAAACTTGATTTCGAGAATTTTAATTCGAGTAGGAATTTTTTTCTCAGTTTATTTTTTATAAAATATGCTTAAAAAACAAGTAACAATTAGGGTTAATATTTCATGAAAAAATTCGTGAAGCGAAGTGAAAGTGAAAAAAGGCTTAAAAAATCGTACTTATTAAAACAAGAAAATTACGAACATACAAATGAAATAGAAATCGGATTATAGTAAAAAAAAAAAAGAGTAAAAGATGGAAATGAAATGAGCTTCATCATCAAGAAGCTACTTGTCTCGGTCCACTGCGTTACGTATTTTTTCATTCGTTGAAAAATTAAAGATGGCGGAAATATCAGCGCTGAATGTGATGAAAATGACATAGGGTTCAACACTTTATCTTAAGTTTCGTTTTATTTATTTATTTTTTATTAAAAAAAATGATAATTTTCAGTTCTTTGCGTCTTTTTAAGTGATTTCTTCGTTTTAATATCTTTATCTCGAGTGCTTAAAATTGTTTTATTGTATGACAATATTTTTTTTCTAAATATTTAAGAGTTTCAATTATTCGAAACTGCAAAAAACTTAAGAGAGCGATATTAGTTTTATTAAAATATAGTAACATCACATTCTAACATTTTCAGTTAACGTATTGTCTCTTTTTTATTTACAGTAATATTTATCGTCTTTATATATTAAATAGAGTAGAAAAGAAAAATAATAATTTTCTTTTTGCATCG